CTTAGGCCCCGCCCCCACCGGTGCCGCTGCAGCGTTCTGAGGCCGCGGAAAATTCCGGAAACGACGAAGACGCGGAAGCTGCCCTGGCACAGCTGGGGGGAGTCCTGCACCTCCTGCAATTAGCGCTAATTAACGCTAATTAGCGCCAATCAACCCTTCGTCCACCCCACCCTTAGCCACGAGTAATAATTAGGAGTAATTAGGGTTAATTAATGCCCATCAGCCGCTTGTTGTAATTAAAGGTTTAATTGATTAATAGAATTGGCGCACTCAACCACTAATTACGCAAATTAAATATTAATTGAGCCTTATTAACTGTTAATTAGCAGTTATTAACCCCTAATTAGCCAAATTTTGGCACTAATTAACACTAATTAATGCCTATTGAACACCTATTATAACTACAACCTAATTAATAACGTATAAAGGCAACAATTAGAGGCACAATTAACAATCCAACCGCTAATTAGCATCTATTAATTGCTAATTGGCATCCACTAAATGCCAATTTGTGGTTTTCAGCACTTAATTAACACCAATTCTTCACTAATTAACACCCATTGGGCTCTTACTATTACTGCACTTTAATTAATATCTATAATTACCACCCCAACCGTTAATTAACACCAATTAAAAACTAATTGAAAGCTGTCAAACACTAATTAAAAGCCAATTATCAGTAATTGGAACCAATTAGCCGCTAATTACCAGCTCTTAGGCTCTAATTAACACACCTTAATTGCTAATTAACACCCGTTAGACACTCATTAACACTCTTGACCTGTTAATTAGCAGGAGAAAATTACTAATTAGCCGCCATTAGCCACTAATTGACACCAGATAGGCGCTAATTATTCACCATTAAAAACTAATTAATTACTTTCCAGGTTAATAAAGGCTTAATTGACACCGACTCATGGACCCCTCCAAGCACTAATTAAACCCTCCCAACCGTCATTAATACCCTAATTAACCCTAATTAACCCCTCCCCCTCCTAATTAACGCCCCCCAACCGCTCATTAACCGCCATGCCGGCTAATTAACGCCCTCCCCATCCTAACGAACCCGCGGCCGCCGATAATCAGCGGCTAATTAATTAATTAGGGAATTAATTACCACGTGCTCGGCCTGGAGCCGCTCCTGGAGCCGCAGCCGCAACTCCTCCGCTGTGGGAGGCTCCATTTCCGCCTCCGCTTGCGTCACTTCCGCTCCGCGCGGGGTGTTGTGGGCACCGAGACGGAAACGAAGCAAAGCATTGTGGGTAGCGAGGCAAACGGGAAGGCTTTGCAGAGGGTTGTGGGTAACGAGGCAAAAGCAGGTGTTTCGCAAGGGTTTATGGGTAACGAGGCGGAAGTGCAGCTCTCCCATTCTTTGTGGGCACAGTGAGGGGCCCAGTACGAACCAGTTTGGACCAGTAAGAGAGAAGTGACCGCACTAAAGGCACCAGTGCCACCAGTAAGGACCAGTACGGGACCAGAACCGACCAGTACGGGGCCGGTAAGGGAGAAATGACCGCAGTGAGGGCACCAGTGACACCAGTAAGGACCGGAGGGGGCAGCAATCCCTCACAATGGCAGGGCTCGCGGTGCATTGTGGGTACCGAGGCATAAACCCCGCCAATTTACCGAGGCGGAAGTCAAGCGATTTTTTTTTTCGCAATGCATTATGGGTATCGTGGGAAAACGGCCGCCATTTTGCCGAGGCGGAACAACCGGAAGTTTCCCTCAGGGGTCGCAAGGCACTGTGGGTAGCGAGGCAAAATCTCAATAACTTTACCGAGGCGGAAATCCGAGCATTAAATGAGAAAATTTTTCCTTTTTTTCCTCCTCCTCCTCCTCCTCCTTATTCTCTTTTATGAGTTCTGGACACCGACTCAAAACCGCCGCCATTTTTACCGAGGCGGAAAAACCGGAAGTTCCCCTCACGGACCGCAATGCAGTGTGGGTAACGAGTCAAATCCTCCACAAATTAATGAAATTTTAAAATAAAAGAAATTTCTTCTCTTCTTCCTCCTCCTCCTCCTCCCCCTCTTTAGTGCATTGTGGATGCAGAGGGAAAACCGCCGCCATTTTTACCGAATTGGAGAAATAGGGAGCTCCTGCATAACAAACCGCAATGCTTTGTGGGTAACGAGGCAAACCTGCCGCCATTTTTACCGAGGCAAAAGCAGGTTACCATTCCGCAATGCATTGTGGGTACCGAGGCAAACCCGCCGCCATCTTTACCGAGGCAAAACACATCGGGAATGCCTCCCTTCGCAAGGCATTGTGGGTACCGAGGCACAAAGTATACCGAGGCGGAAGTGGCAGCGTTGGACCGGAAGCCGCCGCGGGGCATTGTGGGGCGGCGATGGCGGCGATGAGGGCGGTGTATTTGCTGCGCTCCGCCGCCCCTCGGGGCCGCTGCCGGGGCCGAACCTACGTGGGCTTCACGGTGGATCCGCGGCGGCGGCTGCGGCAGCACAACGGCGGCAGGAGGAGGGGGGGAGCCCGCAGGACCAGCGGGAGGGGGCCCTGGTGCGGGGGCCGGGGGGGATCGCAGGGGTTTCAAGGGGATTTGGGGGGGCTCGGGGGGGGTTCGGGGGTGGGGGGTTGGGTTTTGGGGGGTTTTCACTGGTTTTTGGGGTGGATTTTGGGGGGGTTTACAAGGACTTAAGGGGGGTTTGAGGGGGATTTTTGGGGTTTAATGCAATTAAAGGGGGATTTGGGGGGGTTTCAAGGGGATTTGGGAGGGCTCAGGGGGGATTCGGGGGAGGTTAAAGGGGATTTTGGGGTTTAATGGAATTAAAGGGGGATTTGGGGGGTCCAGGGGGGATTTGGGGATGATTTGAAGGAGTTTAAAGGGATTTAAGGGAGGTTTGAGGAGGATTTCTTGGATTTAATAAAATTAAATTGGGATTTGGGGGGGGTTCGGGGGGGATATTGGGGGGTTTAAAGGGATTTAGGGGAGTGGGGGGGGGGTGGGGGGGGGATTGGGGGGAGTTTGAGGGAGATTTTGGGGTTTAATGGAATTAAAGGGCAATTTGGGGGGGTTTAAAAGGGTTAAAGGAGGATTTGGGGGTTCCAGGGAGGATTTGGGGAAAGTTGAGGGAGTTTAAAGGGATTTAAGGGAGCATTGAGGGGGATTTTGGGGGTTTAATGGAATTAAAGGTTTGGGTGTTTTTTGTGTTCGGGGTACCTTCTTGGCGTAGTCGGTCATCTTGCGGGGCGAGCTGAAGAACAGGATCCGCGCGGCCTCGGGGAACAGGATCCGCTCGTAGGCGGCCTCGATGCAGCCCGCGATCCCGTCCCTGCCACAGGGATTTGGGGGTTCAGGGGGGATTTGGGGGGGATTTTTGGGACTTAAGGGGGCTTTGAGGGGGATTTGGGGGCATTTTGGGGGGTTTAAAGGGATTAAAGGGGGATTTGGGGAGGTTAAAGGGGACTTGAGAGGATTTTTGAGGGGTTTAAAGGAATTTGGGGGGCTTTGAGGAATTTAAAGGGGATTTTAGGGCGTTTAATGGGGTTTGGGGACGTTCAAGAAGAATTTGGGGGGAGTTGAAGGAGTTTAAGGGGATTAAATGGGGAATTTTGGGGAGTCTGAAGGCTTTTGGGGGGATTTTGGGGGTTCAAATGGATTTAAAGCTGGATTTTGGGGAATTTCAGAGAGATTTTGGGGGGTTTAAAGGGAGATTTCCAAAAATATTTAATTAAGAATATGCTAATCATTTTTAAAATTAATTATCTCAAGTAGTTCTTTCTGATTTCAAACGAATTTTGAGGCAATTTTCAACGTTTTTCCCCAAAAAAAGGGAAATGGAACTTTTCGTCCACGGCTTCCCCTCCGACGTCGCCGCCCTCAGGGTGAGCCACGCCCCCTTTTAAGCCCCGCCCACCTCATTAAACCATCTTAAACCCCTCCTGTTTCAGTCTAAGCCACTCCCACCTAAGCTCCGCCCACCTAATTAATCCAGTTTAAACATCTCCTTTAGTTTAAGCCCCTCCCACTTTTCACCCCCATTCATTTAAGCCCCGCCCACCTCATTAATCCATGTTAAACCCCTCTGTAGTTTAAGCCCCTCCCACTTTTTACCCTCATTCAATTAAGCCCCGCCCACCTCATTAAGCCATCTTAAACAACTTCTTCTTTAAGATGAGCCCCTCCCACTTCAAGACCCCACCCATTCAAGCCCCGCCCACTTCATTATTCTGTCTTAAATCCCTCCTCCTTTAATTTAAGCCCCTCCTACTTTGAAACAAACACTACATAAGCCCCGCCCACATCATTAATCATCTTAAACCCCTCCTCCTTTAAGCCACTCCCACTTAAGCCCCACCCACTTCATTAATCCATGTTAAACCCCTCTGTAGTTTAAGCCCCTCCCACTTTTTACCCCCATTCATTTAAGCCCCTCCCACCTCATTAATCCATCTTAAACAACTCCTCCTTTAAGATGAGCCCCTCCCACTTCAAGACCCCACCCATTCAAGCCCCGCCCACTTCATTATTCTGTCTTAAATCCCTCCTCCTTTAATTTAAGCCCCTCCTACTTTGAAACAAACACTAACATAAGCCCCGCCCACATCATTAATCCATCTTAAACTCATCTTCCTTTAAGCCACTCCCACTTAAGCCCCACCCACCTCATTAATCCATCTTAAACCCCTCCTCCTTTAAGCCACTCCCACTTAAGCCCCACCCACCTCATTAATCCATCTTAAACCCCTCTATAGTTTAAGCCCCTCCCACTTTTCACCCCATTCATTTAAGCCCCGCCCACCTCATTAATCCATCTAAAACAACTCCTTTAAGACAAGCTCCTCCCACTTTAAGACCCTGCCCATGTAAGCCCCACCCACTTCATTATTCTAACTTGAACCCCTCCTCCTTTAAGCCCCTCCCACTGAAACCCCACCCACCTCATTAATCCATCTTAAACCCCGCCTCCTTTTATCGAAGCCATTTCCATTTAAGCCCCACCCACCTCATTAATCCATCTTAAACCCCTCTATACTTTAAGCCCCTCCCACTTTTCAACCCCATTCACTTAAGCCCCGCCCACATTAATCCATATTAAACCCCTCCTCCTTTAAGATGAGCTCATCCCACTTTAAGACCCCACCCATGTAAGCCCCGCCCACTTCATTAATATGTGTAAAAGCCCTCCTCCTTTAAGCCCCTTCCACTTTTAAACCCAACCCACACGAGTCCCGCCCACTTCATTAATTCATCTTAAACTCCTCCTTGTTTAACTTAAGCCCCTCCCACTTTTAATCCCCACCCAATTAAGCCCCGCCCACCTCATTAAAACTGTCCCCTTTCAAGCTCCTCCCAGTTTTTAATTATTCCTTTAAACTCCACCCACTTAATCCTCACCCCATTCAAGCCCCGCCCACCTCATTAACGCCAACAAAACCCCTCCCCCTTTTCTTAAAACTTAAGCCCCGCCCCTTCCTTTCAGTTCGAGTGGGCGTGGCAACACCCAAACTCCTCCCGCTGCCTCTTGGCCCCGCCCCCTCGCCGCCCCAGGGAGCAGCCAATCAGCTTCGCCCTCCGCCTCTTGCCCCACCTCCTCCGGGCCCCGCCCTGGTCCCGCCTCCCATTAAAAATCCGCTGGCTCCGCCCACCTCGCCCCGCCCTGGAGTTGGCCCCGCCCCCTCACGTGGTGGAGGAGGAGGGGGCGGGGCTGCCACGCCTTAAAAGGAAAAAGGGGCGGAGTCAAGAGGTGGAGGTGGATGACTGTGGGTGTGGCCTGTGTGGGGAGGTAAGGGGCGGGGCTTAAAGGGGGTGGGGCCTAAAGGGGGAGGGGTTTGAGGTGGTTGGGCTAAAGGGGGAGTGGCTTAGAATGTTTTGATGGTGTGGGCGGGGCTTAAAAGGGGAGGAGTTTAGCAGTTTAATGAGGTGGGTGTGGCTTAAAGGGGTGGGGCTTATACAAATTCTTGAAAGGGGAGGGGCTTAAAGTGGGAGGGGCTTGAATGGGTGGGGCTTAACTGGGTATGGGGCAAAGTGGGAGGGGCCTAAAGTGGGTGGAGCTTTTTATGATGTGAAGGGGTGGGGCTTAAAAGGGGTGTGGCTAAAATGGGTACAGCTAATGGTCTGGAAAGTGGGTGTGGCCTAAAAGGGGAGTGAACTTTGCAGGTGTAAAAATGAAAAATTGGTGAGTTTTTCTGCTTAAAAATATGGAATTATGCAAATTTTAGAATTTGGGCGTGGCCTAATCATTTCTTAATAAAGTACTGTGCTTTTAAATCAATAAAACTTTCTTAAATTTAAATTTTATGCAAATTAATGCCTTTTGAGCAGGAATTTTTGGGTTTTGACGTTTCCACGCCTTTTTTAGGCACAGGCCACGCCCCTTTTGCGCTGTCCCCGCCCCCAGTGCAAGATGGCTGCCCATCCCCCCTGCCTGGCCCGGCTCTTCCTGGCCCCGGAGCCGCGGCAGCTGCTGCCAGTAGGGGGCGCCTGTCCC